TCTTTCACTGAAACGGTCTATACTCAGTATTTCTATAGTAAGTTACAACCCAAGGAGGTAGGTCGAGGGAAAGGAAAGCTGGAGAGGAAGAAGCAGACGGAACGCTAGAGGGGAGAGGGTGCAACACTCACCTTTCTGCCGTTGTCTGCTTCCTCCTCCCTGGCCCTCCTTTCCCTCGACCTACCTCCTTGGGTTGCAACGGACTATAGTTGCGTGTGTAAGCAAACGCCATTCTGTACTGGCCCTTTTATTTTATTTCGCCGAGCGCATTCCAAGCAAGCACCATCGATTACATATCAGAAGTGGGATTATCAACCTGCTCCTCGGAATGAAGAGCGGACCGAAGAGTGGCACAAGCAATCAAGTGCGTCAGGCATCCAAACCCGTGGACCCTGGATCGACGAGTCAGGTGCGATCAGAGTCAGGTTGGAGCGACCCACAGTGTGACAGGTGGGCGACGTCTGTGTGAGTGCCTGCGATTGGGGGCTTCCCACTGTGCGGAACTCAAGGTTCAGGTACTGTCGGATTTTTCATCTCTCTGTGGAACTCTTTATCAAAAGAGTTTTCGTTTTGCGTATAAGATGTAGTGTATTATGTTGTGGCTTTATATTGTTTGTGCGAGCGTGTGTGTTGGGTGTAATTACATGTATACAGCTCAACGCTTCACCATGAACCAGGAAGCGTCGGGAGCGTCTCTGAGCCAGGCGGGTTCGCCTGAAGTTGCTCATTCCATGGGGGACGGGTTTTCTTTGCACGAGCTTTTGGGAATGATTCGAGAAAAGGATCGTTTGTTAACGGACCTCTTGGGACGACTTGCCCTTCCGGCGCAGTCAGGCACAGCGGACGTGAGCGGCGTGGCGACGTTCCAGGCCTCAGTAAGAACATATCCAATTTCGACGGAAGTGAGGACGCAGCAGCAGCGCGAGACTGGATTGAGAACCTGAAGAGGACGGCGACTCTTCATAAGTGGCCGACACCTTTCCTCCTGGAAACGGCAAAATCCCATTTCACAGGAGCTGCCAAAGACTGGTTACGCTCACGCCATGCAGAAATTGCGTCGTGGGTAGATCTAGAGCGCCAGTTTCGACGAACATTCGTTAGCCAGACCCGAGCAGCGGAACGCTGGAGAAGAATGCAAGACCGCGTCCAGCAGCGAAACGAGAGCACGACTGCCTACTCCCATTCGAAGATTCGTCTTTGTGGATAGGCAAACCTCAACTTCTGCGATTCTCGCGAGCAAGTGCTCACCGGCTCGTGTTCGCGACAACTGTGCACCATGTTAACCGGGAGAACACACGAGCAGTGTTGCCAGATGGAGAAAAAAAAAGTCAGCAGATTGATCCCCAAAAAGTCAGTAGATTTGCACAAAAATCAGTAGATTCCACGAAATATGTGTTTTGCCATGTTTTGCTATCTCCATTAATACACATTTCGAAGAAATAGTATAGAGTAACAAATAACATGGTAATAAACACAAATAAAAATGAAAGAAAAAAAACAAGACCAGTTCTCGAGTAACTTTATATGAAGGACAAATTAAAATGGCTCCATAAATGTTTTTGTTTTAGTCATTATTGACTCTTTCGAGGATTATTCTTTGAAATCGAGACTGAGGCACTTTTGGGATCACAGTTGAAAGCGACAGTGCGACGTTCACCTGTCGCTATTATTGAAACGAAACTGAAACAAGACGCTCCGGCAAGTGCGCGCGAACATGTCCAATGGAAGTCCTCTGCATGCTGCCATCTTTCCTTACTGGGCTGTGGAAGGTTTTTGAAGCAACGCTGTTGGTCCGGAGCACTGTTGAGGCTACGCGTCGTCTGCTACGGGCTTATTTCTTTTTCGCCTGACCCAAAGTTTGCGTTCAAACCTGGAGAAACTTCATTCGTTAGCTTTTTAAGCCACCGAGGAATAGGATTATATAATTTTCTTGCCACAGCCTGCCAAATAAAATAAAATAACTGAAATTTGGATGTCGATCCCATGCATTCCGCCGAACGAATGCATGAAAATTGCGGCTCTCTCCGCTCAACTCGAAGCTATTCTAGTAGATTGTATAGGAGCAGCCGAGAGTTCAGGCGCATGCGCAAACACCTCTCGCTCTGCGCCGCGGGCTGATTGGCTCACTAGGGAGAGGGACGTTACGGCGAGATCATAGGCTAGCCAAACTCTCTCCATATATGACTCTGGCCCGGATGTCACCGTCGAACCTGCCCAACCTGCCGAACCTGCTCTGGGTGAATAGATAGATGAATATACGGCTACGTCACTCGAATAGGACGGGCTTCTGGGCCATCTAGCCAGTGCTCCGTTTTTAATTCTGGGACATTATGAGTTTCCTTTGATGGGCGACACTGGTAACTGAAGGGGCCATGTAATAAATTTTTAATGTTTACTAAAAAAAAGTCAGTAGATTTTCTTGTTTTTCAGTGAATCAGTAGACCCGGAACGAAATCAGTAGATCTACTGATAAATCAGTAGACCTGGCAACACTGCACACGAGGACGGTGATGACCTCCTACGCGACATACAGGAATTCGAAAGGATCGATCGGGAGCGACAAGAGCGCTTCGGTGGACAGCGTGAAAAAAGGGCTGCTACAGACACACCGCGAAACCGAGACCCGGGTATGACGTCTGTCAAGGAAACCGTTGACGAGAGAGACCCCAAGGAAATGCGGGAACGGGTGCGACAGCACCTCACTGAGGAACAGGAAAAACTAAAAACCGCATACGACCGAAGACACTTCCCTGCGCGACTGTACGATGTCGGAGATATAGTCTTTATGAGAAAAGCTACTGAACCAACAGGCAAGCCAACAAAGGCCCAACCGAAGTACAGAGGTCCTTTGGTTGTGACGCGGGTTCTTCCATCCGACACATATCGCGTCACTGAGCTTGACAAGACCAAGGCCAGTAGATTCGCAACTACGGCGCATGTTTCCCAGTTGAAGGGATGGACGTCGACAACAAAGAAAACACACTTGGAAGACGACACATCATCGTCAGAAGAAGTAGAATCCGCCAGGGAGGAAGTCACCGTTCAGCTCCCGAGGCGCTCTGCACGAAAGCGTGCAGTTCCGAAGTGAGCACATTTGCAACACATATTAGGGAGTTTTAGAATAGCGCACGCTAAAGCTTTGCGTACGCAAAGAATAGCGTCGTCGCCACTGCGCATGCTCCGAACGCAAACCAGGTTTTGCGCTTTGCGTGCGCAATTTTAGCGCGCGCTATTTCTCAGAAATGCGTGCGTACGGAAAGAGTCTTTGCGCTTCTCCAAGGAGGATTCGTGATGACAAGTTGGCTAAAGCCAAGACGAGCAGAGTTTAAAAAAATGGCGGCTTCCAGGATTATGTCGGCGGCTGCTTTGGCGGCGTCGTGAGTGCGACGTCGGCGGCATCCTCGCGACTGCGATTTTCAATACGGGACGACATTGTACTCGGTTTGGCAACGATCCTCGGCAACTTGATGCTTGCGACGCGCGAACATTTCGCGGCGAAGGTACGATGTGCGAAGGTCAGTACGACACCTGTCTTGCCGGGGCGACGCAAGCGGACACGACCGGTCAACCGCTCGCGTCGAATTTCCTGTTTATTCAAATCGAAATTAATACTCTGAACCAAAAAAACTGTTTTCTTTTTTTCTAAAGTTGCAGCATTTCGTGTGTGAAATAAAAATTGTGACTGTATCTTGGTGGCGTCGCAAGCGCGAGCTGATAGGGTTTTTGCGTCGCGACGGAGAAACGCTATTCTAAAACTCTCTTGCGTCGCGTGCGCTAATACAAGCGCTAAATTTAGCGCTAGCGTGCGCTAAAATTGCGTACGTTATTCTAAAACTCCCTATTATTTTTCGCTTGTATCGATTTTGTTGTTGTTGTTTTTTGTTGCATAACGTGCATTGAAGCATTTATGCGTTTCTTGTGCTGTTCACGTATATGTAGTGTCAATTCCTGTGTATTCATATGTTGTTATTATTAAGAAACATGAAAGATTTATCTTTATTAATTTGTATAGGCATTGCGTTTTGTTGTCGTTAACGAGGACGTTAACAATGCCATGATGCCCGAATGTAAGCAAACGCCATTCTGTACTGGCCCTTTTATTTTATTTCGCCGAGCGCATTCCAAGCAAGCACCATCGAATACACGTGCAGTACAGGCGAAGGCAACGCCAGGCGAGGGAAGAAAAGGGAAGCACTAGGAAGGCCGGGGAGGCAAAGAGAAACCTCCTTTCCTTTCTCAAGAATATAGGGCGAGGGAACACCTTAGCGAGGGTAAGGAAGGCCGGGGAGGAGGAAGCAGACAGAACGCTGGAGAGAGGAGGACGTTTTCCCTTTCCCCTCCAGCGTTCCGTCCGCTTTTTCCTCTCCCTCGCCTTACCTCCTTGAGCTCTAACCAAATACTTTACTTTCTCCCCTCGCCCTCCTTCGACCTTTGTCTCTGCGCCTGGCGTAGAAAGAAAGGTCGCAGTGCACGCGAAGGCCTGCACTGCACACAACTACACCCCGTTTCACCTTACGTCCGGACGAAGCGGACGCTACGAGCATCCGCTGCGCCCACAGAGTATAAACACGCCTTTCCTATTTTTTTTTTCTTTTTTTCAAAATGAGTTACATTTTTAGAAATTATATTTCGTCCAAACTTTTTGTTTCAAGACTAAAAAAAAAAAGAGAAAGAAAGCTCGTATGTAGTTACACTATAATAAAACTATTGTAATTAGCTACTTGAGTAGAGTAGTAGAAAACTTGTAATTGTAATTAAACCGCATTACTTTCTGAAAGTAATCCATAATTGTAGTATATTACTTTTAAATTGTGGAGAAAATGAGAAAACTTGCAATTGGCCGAAGTACTCATGCAGCCCTTTCTGACCCGGCGAGACGCCTACAAACGCTTGATTCACTGTGAGCTCCGGCTCCGGCAGCTCGGGCGCTTGTGTTCTCGCGTCCTCCGTCCCCTCATCCTTTCAGCCTCTCCCCTAAACATGTGGGGGAGCGGCGAGCTGCCCAGCTGCGCACTGCGCATGCGCGAGTCGGCTGATAGCTGTTGGAGAATCGCGGCCCGTCGCCCCACGAAAGGCGGCTGCATGGGATGCGGCATAGAAAAAACGACTCGCAGATGCGTGCAAACTTCCTCGACAGTTTGTAAGTACGGCGTACCGCATGCTACTGCACAACCCCGACCCCACAGTTCTCCACCCTGCCTGCTCTCGTTTGGATCAGTGCACGAAATTCTTTGGGCACCGACGGCAAACACCGTGGAAAACAACTCAACAAGTTGACCGCACGCAGCATTCCTGTCCCTGGCACTCCGCTCGGTATGAGAACTTTTAATGGACGAATAATCGTCAGCACCAAATAGTGTTGTGTGGATTTCGCGTGAAGGAGCGTTGGCAGTGTCGCGTGGTCCGTGAGCGCTCGTGGTTCGGGTAACTTCCTCAGCGAGCCATGCTGCTCCATTGTGTGAGCGCGGGGCGGCGGGGCTCGAGCTGCGGTTGCTGCCCTCTCTCCCGAGGAGCTGCAGGAGCGGTTTCTCGGCGCGGGGTCGGTTCAAAACGACGTCGTAGTTTGGAGGAAAGAACGACGGCGAACGTCGACGGAAAGGAACACCTACAGTGTGCAACGTTGCCGCAAAACTGCGCAGTGCGTAACAACACCTGGGTATCCCTGCGTTATAACAAAATAAAAATAAAATGTGTTTTTTTATATATATATATATTTTTTTTTTTTTTTTTCGGCCGTGCGATGCGCGAAATGGTGAGGAAGTTGTATGTCGATTTCTGGGCTCGGGAACTTTGAATCGCAGCTTCGGGTACGTTGTTGAAATATGGTCAGTGTTCACACATCTAATTGTACACTTGACGTTTAAAACGAGCATCTCCTGTTACCATTACAAGCAGTGGAACTTACGTGCAGTTATCCGTGCTAGTTGTAATTCTACGCCTCCTCGTAAGGTGGTGGCTCAAAACTGATTTACTTTCATCTACAAGAAAAAGAAACGTTTAGATAAATTATAAAAATAAAGAAAAAGATTGCAGTACATTGTTATATATCTATTTTATTGTTAAGGATGAAGAAAATGCAGTACCCTTAACTTAATAATTTACCATGGAAAAAACAATAGGGGCGGACAAAACTGGCTGCCTTCCCTGTGACACTTGCGCCGTTCTGTGTCACCTAAACCTGCTTGCTGGTTTACCAACTTTGCCCTTATCCCAGCAGAAACAACGGAATGGTTCAGGCCTGATGGCACCTGCCCAAGCAAAAGTTGAAGATGCAGAGGAAGAGAAAAAAGCGGAGTTCTTCTGCCGCATGTGCCACAAGAGTTTCGGCAGGAGGTACCACCTGGAGCGGCACCTCATCAACACTCCCTGCTCGGGGAAGCCCCCTGGCCGCTTTCCCTGTGACACTTGTGGCAAGGTCTTCCCCACCGAGGTAAGGGCATGCTCCGTACAATCACAGAGCCTTCCTGCTAACTTTGTTTACCCTCTACATGTTTACCCTTGAAACAAACAAGCATTGCTCGTTCTCTCATATACATACTGTTGTTAACTCCAAAGGCGTTTTGGGCAAAAAAACTGGCTTTATTGTTAATATAACGGCATGTTGCACGTCCGACCTTCGCCACTGCCCAAGTGAGTGTACTTCTCTCCCGCTGGGTTTGCGCTGCGAGCGCGATTCCGCCAATTCCAGCACACAGTGATGTGATTGCTGCGCCAATTGCGCCAAACTGCGCTAAGGGGCTAACCCTGCTACACCCTGCTACATTTTGCCAAAATATGGGTGATCTGCGCCAAGCCTGCGCCAAAGGACCAGTTTTGGTCGCTTTTCAACACCGAAACTAAACTGAGTACCGTAATTGATCATGCGTGAGCTAAGTGGCGCAGGCGGCCGCCCACACAAAGTACCCTGCATCAATCGTGGCATTGTAACCCTGGAGCCGGGGAAAAGAAGGGACGTGGGACAGGCACAAAAACTCCAATGTCAGTATTGAACCAGCTCGCCTGTGTCCTTGCTTTAGTTACATTAATCGTCCATCCGGTCTGGCATAGTTTTTCCCGCCGTCTGTTCTTTCGCGCTCTCGTCGTCTCGTAAATCTAGTCTCGCGTTTTTTTTTTTTTAACGAAATTACATTTTTGCGCGGCAGGAGATACTTTTTGAGCTGAAGCACTCACTTCTGAAAGCAACTGCCGTGGGAAAACTATTTGGTCCCTGCCGGCCAGGCCGCACGTCGCTACAGATATGGACCTTCCTAAACTGAAACATAAGGACCGCCGCATGTTCATCAACATTCCTGTTCTTGTTTAAAACATACGCTACTACGAAGATTCCTTTTTAACTCAAAGACTGCTGTGTGGAAGTATTGATTACCTAGGTTTCTCTTGGTTGGCTTTCTTTCGAGAGGGACCCAGTACATGAAAAATCTGTCGCGCAAGAAAGTTGGTGAAGAGAAGTGAGATAAAGCAAAGAAGGCAATATCTGCACGCTGAACCCGCACATCGCGCTTGTTTGTCTCGAGTTCAGTCGTTGCACAAAGCACTCCAAGAACGTTTTGACCCTGACTCGCGATGTCCTGCATCGATGCGCTCAGGTTCTTTTTTTCTGTGTGTTTAGCTTGTACCTCGCCTGCCGGCCTTGCAAGCACGCGCCGAACTGTTTATTGCCGCATGCTGGGCAGTTAGATTTTGCATACATATTTGGAAACCAGTTGGCGACAGAGCGGAGAGGCATGGTTTTGGTTTCGATCGAACAGCCGTTTCGCTCGCGCGACGAAGCACGTGCACCTGCAAGCCTGCCGGAGTTGCCCTCGCGTGCATGCAAGCATGATTGCAGGACAGAGGCACCAGCCGGGACGCTTGCAATCCACTGTTTTACGTTTACTTTTGACGAAAATCTAGCACGTCGGGAATCAGTAAAACGGTGGCAAGCGGTTTTTCAGAATTGCTCGGCAACGCGTACAGCACTGTAAACTTGTAAGGTGTTTCAATGTCTTTTTGGGGACATCGAAAATGGACATTATTTTCTAGCCTAAGCCAAAGCGAAGCTTGCAGCAGGTTTCCAGAAAGTTTCGAAAAGCAAAAAGTACCCGCTAGTTGTAATGCACCTTTTCCTTGTGTGCAATTTCGCATTGCACTGCAGTGGCTATATATATATGTGTGTTTCACCAGTCGGAGACTTCTTTCATTTATTATATTATATCAGTAGTCAACCTAATGCTGTGATATTTACTACTGGTCATTTTCAAATAAATTTTAATATGTGAAGTTTGCTTCTTATCTATCTATAGTGGGTACATATATATGTATCATTTAACTGAAGCAGTGCAAAATGTGCGCGAAAACCACCTAGAGGTCTTGAAAAAATGCAAAAGACTCCTAGGTGGTCGAACTTGACCATAATTCGTTTATTTCGGTGAGCAAAGTGCCCTTCGTTTGTCCAGCACCTAAAACAAATATTTGTATTTTTCTAAGAGTATCTGCTCCGAAAGCCACTTTCTGTGCTCCGAAACACTGTTTTAGCTGCTCCAAAAGCCTTGTTTTAGCTGCTCCGAAAGCCACTTTTGCTGCTCCAAAACACTGTTTTGGCTGCTCCGAAAGGTGCTCCAAAACGACTTAGGCCAATCACATCACTGCAGCACAAGTACCGCCCCCTCATGTCCAAGTGGCGAACCGCGGGTTACACTATCCAGTCACAGTTAATGAGAACATGGTAGTGCATGGCATCGGCTGCTATCAAAGCACTCTAACTGCCTGCAGCGCGCAGCTGTAGTGCATCTGCATCGCTGAAGTTCAAGTTGTGTATTACGCAGTCAGAGCTCTCTGTTATAGTAACCGATGCCACTCACTTCCGTGTTCCTGCTGACTGGAATTAAGATATCTCCAGCCATACGGAGCACAAGTTTGTCCGCTTCTTGCACAGGATTTGCAGCGATGTCAGAATGCCAAGCTCTGATTGACTCTGATTGGAAGGATGGTGGGTAGACCTTTTTGCAGCTAGCATTGAGGTCTACTGACTATTCTTCCAACAGAGCCAATTGGAGCTCGGGTTCTGATGCCACTGCAACTCCCATGAAAGAAGCAGACAAACTTGTGCTCCACTTACCCGGAGTGCCTTTCCTCTGCTCAGAGTGCCCCAAGGGCTTCATAGTTTCCTCTCTGACTGTGTAAGTACATGAGCATGACGACTCTTTCCCAAAGATGTTGCTTGTGCTTGCAGTTGTCATAGGCTACAAAAAGTAATACTGATAAACTATGCAGGTGCAGCTCATACTGAATGTCTTTTTTTAAACCACTAACTTAAAAAGTTGCAGGACCATATAGTTAAATGCACTTTAAGCATGACTATATGTTATACTTTGTTTCAGCCTAACTTGGCAAATGGCAATACAGAACAGCCTCATGTAGTTGTGGACACCAGGCGCATCACTGCTGCAAGATGAGGTCCCCTCCTTGCCTTGGTTGCACAACATGACTCTTCAATGAGTGGCTAGTGCTAGCCTGTCGTGGGCCTGGTTTCCTATGCTTCTTTATGGGGGAGACGCTTGTTTTTAAAGTCATTCTCTGGGTTTGCTGCGTCCTGTAAAACTTGGCACTTGCGCTTTGCAGATTGCTTAGGCACAGTTTGGTCATCGACCCTAGTCTTGTGCCTCGGCGGCGGCAATAACAGTTGTTTAAACGCATTGAAGCGGAGAAATGTCTGGCATTGTGTTCAAGCCGACACCTGTCGAGGTCGGAGCAGATGAGCTGAGCGAAAAGCGCCTGCAGCCGGGTGCCATGGCAACGAGACACATTGTCATTTGTTTCTTTTTTCCTCAGTAGTATCGTCCGGCCGGCGGAGATGCTGTCGGCGTAGGTAGCTCAGGCACATGTCAGTAAGACTTTATCTGGTCGATCGCGGCACGGCGTTTGCCGTGCTGCATGTCCTCGCCTAACAAGTATCTCCCTCCGTGATGCAGGCGAAGCTGCAGAGCCACACGAGAAATCACACCGAAGACCAGGAGGGAGTGAAGCGGTTTGCCTGTAGCCAGTGCGGGCGCCGCTTCTGGAACCGCTCCCTGCTGCGCATCCACTCGAGGCACCACTCAGGCGAGCGGCCCTTCCTCTGCCCCGAGTGCCCCAAGGGCTTTGTGTCCCTGGGGTCCCTGAACAAGCACAGGCTCTGCCATGCCAAGGAGAGGCCCCACGCCTGCCCACACTGCCCGGCCAGGTGGGTGCCTGCAAGGGCTGCAGTCTCTGGCCACTGGCATGCTTCCCAGTTACGTCTAACACAAGCTTGCATGCTCTTTTGCCTTGTCCCGCATGTGTTGTGCCACGCGCTCTTGCAAACTGGGGCGGTAACTTGGACGCTGGGCAAGGAAGTTGGAAAGATAGCCGACCGTCGTGATTGGCCAATGCCAAGGTCAAGGGCTCCGCTTGTTAATTGCGGTAATCGGCAATCTCGCCAACTTAGAGCTGTCGGACAATGTCCCAATGGTCTTGACGCACTCTGGGTATGGGGTGCGGCAATGTGAGTTGTTACAGTGGTGTCAGGGCCGGGGCGGTAAAAATATCCTGGGAGCCTCCGGTGCATTAAGCTGCCAAATGAGAGGTTCCCTTCAGCTTAAAAAAATACAACTTGGAAAAAGAAAAGATTTTTGTGCCTAATTAGGACAGGCTTGTCTCAAAATAAATGTTTATTACAAATATTTGTTACAATAAGATTTTTTTTTTTTTTTCGATTTAGAGGCAAAATTAAAATTATATTTCTGTGGGATGAGGATAATAGCGTTTGTTCCCAACAAGTGTGCACTCTGAGGTCCAGCGAACTCTGAGCATACACTAATTTGCAAACACTGCAATCATCATTCCACAGGAGTACATTTTCGGTTTTGCCCGCCAATCTAAATATTCGTATTGTATCGTAAATATTGGGCAAAAAAATGTTTCTTTTTCGACAAACTTTTTTTTTTTTGAGACACGCCCTTCCTAACCAGGCAGAAAGTTTTTTTTTTGTTTTCCTCGGTTCAGTGCTTTTTTAAATTAATGCACGTTCCCTGTTGTTGCGGTAGGTTCTACAGGCTAGCATTCCGAAGGCACACCATGCTGCATTTTACCCCCTTCAATAGCACTCTGCTGTTGCAACTCATATTGTCTTCGATTATACATTGGGTGCCCCGATGTTTCTGCACCAAAGGCAAATGAATGCGGAGAGCAAGTTGTCTGCTTCTTGCGCAGGAGTTGCGGGGACGTCAGAATGACACCGAGCTCTGGTTGGCTTTGATTGAAAGGATACTGGGTATAGGACCTCAATGCCAGATGCCTCAAGGTCTATCCACTATTTTTTCAATCAGCCAAAAGATCTCGGCGTTCTGGCGTCATCACAACCCCTGTGCATGAAGCAGACAAACCTGTGCTCCGCATACTATGGCACTGAATGTTTGCTCCATTAACTTGTGACTGATTCCCTTTTTTCTTGTCTTTGGAACTATGAAGGCAATTTGATGTGCTTCATAATTAACATATGTTTTTTGATTGCAAAAAAGATTATTAAGCTGGAGTATTTCTCAGAAATATTTTAGACTGGTGCTTTTTTTGTCAGGAAGGTGCTTCCAAAGGTCGGTAACCTAAGACAAGCAAAATATTTGCATCATTCTCTTCTTCATCACTTGTTAAGCGAATCTAAAACAATCCCTCAACTGTTGTTGCAGAGTTGAGGGTTACAGTGAAACACCACTTGAACAAACTCCAGTTGAACTAACTATTCGGTTAAAGAAACTTTTGTGAAATTCCCCAGCGAAACCTTATAGTTTTCAGTTGAGTGGACCTCCACTTAATCAAACTTGTTCTTAGTGTTTTTTGAAGTTTGTTCAAGTGGTATTCTACTGTAGCTGTACAGCATGCCACCAACAAAGAAATTTACAGTGTTAGTTTCTTTTTACTGCAAAAATGATTCCTGAATCTTACACTGGGAAAGTGGAGCCTGTTCGTGGTAGTTGACGCCACTCATCTCCTCGTGTTTGGAAGAGCTCCCTCCGTTGGCCGCCATTTCCACACTGAAAATTTCTGGAAGTCACTTATAACATCCGAATAAAATTACAGATAGTTCTGAAACTGGCATCTGATGCAGACCGCTAGCACCATGTTTGGGCAGAGACTGAGCGTTTGGCGATGCATAGTTTGTTTTTAGAGAGAAAAAAACAAACACTGCAGCTATTTTTCAGGGACACCCCCTAGATCGTACTCTGGCTGCAAAGAGCATGAGCCAGTATGGGCTCCAACCGTGACTCCATTTGCGGTGAAAGCACTTCTCAAAGCTGCGTGCTTGTACCTCTGAATTTGACAGAGGGTTTGCATGAGTTTGAGGGGGCCCGAATGTGAGCACACACTGGTTGTACCTAACTAGTGTGCACTCTGAGTTTGCTGGACCTCAGAGCACACACTAGTTGGGTACAAACGCTATCATCATCATCCCACAGGGGTGCAATTTCGGTTTTGCACGCAAATCGAAAAATTTATATTGTAACTAATATACTAAAAAAAATAATTTTTAATCATTAATGCAGACATGCTTGCAAGTAGAAAATAATTCTTTTCTTTTTACGTAGGTTTTATAGTGTTTTTTTTTTTTTTTTTTAACATATTGCATATCCTGTATGGGCTTCAGCCTTTTAATTGTCTCAGGCTCTCGGCCTTACGGAAGTTTGAGCCAATAAAAACCTTTGAACCTTTGAAATTTGGTTCAACACACTAACAGACACATTGAAACCAATAACCCAAATTACAAGTAACAGCCATTTTTTTTTAGCGAAGTTACCCTATTTCATTCTCAAGTTTGGTCTGAGAGGCTGGGAGGCTCTACTGAAAACTTGACATCCGATGTTGTAAGCTAAGTGCAATAGAGATCGTTCCCGACCGGTTACAAGAGGTTTGATGGTGTGAAATTAATGCTGGGGAAATCCGCGGCAGCAAAACAAGCAATTAGGAAAAATATTCTGTTTTCTAGACTGCCTACTCAACTTGCAAGTTACGCAGCATGTGACATCACCCCACTGGAGAGCAGGGAAAGCACTTGAATTTTGGTTTTTGCGTAACTTTTATTTGCCGTTTTCTTAATAGCTCTTCTGAATTTAGAGATAATAAATAGCGGGCTGGGAACAGTAAAGCCTACATATTCCGAAAATGTGTTTAGTTTGAGTAGCTAAGGAAAAACTGCCGGAGCTCCCTTTCAATAAAAAGCACCATCTATACATTTGGAACTCCCCCTGGACAGGGTGTGAGTCGGCACAGCACGAGCTGGTCCTTCTTGTCTTCACATTTTGACTGTGTCTCCACAGTGGTTTCCATTTACCTTCTAGGTTGGGGGGGGGGGGGGGAGGGGGGTAGAAGTTGCTATTGGAATTTCTATACTTGTCGGACTCGTTTCATTGGTTTTTGATGCTGTGAACCCTCTTTTGGAAACACAGTTGTAAAGGCTGGTTGACACATCTGTGTTTCAATGTTATCAGTGTTTTGCGAATAACTATTGCAGTATTAGTGAGAACAAATATATAACACTTTTCTATGAAAAACGGTTGCTCATATAGCCAGGGTTCCATGTTTTCGGTAAATGCCAATAAAACCCCTAAAAGTAACCCCCCCCCCCCCCTCGAACCAGTTTTATTGACATCGAGGTGTAAAATCGAAAAACCCCAAATCGGCGCTTTCCTTTACCGAGAAAAAAACCAAGTTTTGCAAGGTAAAAAAAATCTTCGGCCAGAATTCCTTTTAGTGCTTACCCCGAACGCATCCGCATCAAGCTGTCCGTGAGGCTGCCTCTTCCTTCGAAACCCAGACCTCTCGTCTCCTTTCTTTTATTGGTATTGAAACTTTTTCCAAGTAAGCGTTCAGGTCACGAGCATGTGTTGTTTGGGGGTCAAAAAGTTCCACGCCCGTGCCTTGTTACTTCAAGTTCGGGCCTAACGAACGCCAATTTCCCATCCAATGCCGAAAAGCGACGCCGAAAGATGTTGAAAGACGCCGAATCTGTGGGATAAAATATACCCCTAAGAAACACCCCCAAATTTAAAGAAACGTATACCCCTCGAAAACGTGAAGCCCTATTTGTAACATTGCCCAAATTATTTGTATCCAATGGTAAAAAGATTAGTGATGTGATTGCTGCGCCAAACTGCGCCAAGGGGCTAAGACTGCTACATCCTGCTACATTTTGTTAAAATATGGGTAATCTGCGCCAAGCCTGCGCCAAGAAACCAATTTCAGTCGCCATTCAAATTTGAAACTAAATTGAGTACCGTAATTGAGCATGCGTGTGTTATGTGGCGCAAGCGGCCGCCCGACGCAAAGTACCCTGCATCAGTTGTCCATCCATTCTTGCATGGTTTTCCCGCTGTCTCGCGTTTTGCGCTCTCGTTGTCTCGTGGGTCTTGTCTTGCGTCTTTTTTAGAAATATTTCCATCGATAGACGCGCGTGTGTGCAGACTCTTCCACGCTAGCGTGCTGGGTACCAGCCATGCTGTTATGCTGTGAAACGAAACCACGTTTTTGCGAGGCGGGAGTTTCTTAGTGAGCTGAAGCACTTGCTCCTGAAAGCAACGGCCATGAAAAAACTATATTTGGTCCCTGCCTTCCAGTCGCCGCGGTCGCGCGACGTCGGGTGTTGCCGTCCCCACGTCGCTGCAGATATGGCGCTTTCTAAAATAAAACTAAGTACTGCCGCATGTTCATCAACACTCCTGTTCTTGTTTAAATTATATTACTACGAAAATACCTCTTCAATTCAAAGTCTGCTTTGTTGAGGTATTGATTACCTAGGTTTCTCTCGGTGGGCTTTTCTAGGAGAGGGACCCCGGTACAGGGAAAAATCTGCCGCGAAAGAAAGTTAGTGAAGTGAGCTAAAGCAAAGAAGGCAATGTCTGCACGCTGAACCCGCACACCGCGCTTGTTTGTCTCATGTCCCGTTCCTGCACAAGCTGCTCCAATAACTTATTTACCCTGGCTCGCGATGTCTTTGATCGATGCACTCAGGTTTTTTTTGGGTTTTTTTTTGTGTAGCTTTTACCTTGTTTGCGGGCCTGGCAAGCACGCGCCGCTGGACTGGTTTTTGTCGTATGCTCGACAGTTACATTTTGCATACAATTTTTGGAATGGGTTAGGGACGGAGCAGAGTGCAATGGTTTCGATTTCGATCGAACAACCGTTGTCTCCGCTTGCGCGACTAAGCATGTGCAAGTGCAAGCCTGCCGAAGTTGTTCTCATGTGCATGCGAACATGATTGCACGACAGAGGCATTAGCCGGGACGCTTGCAGTCCATCGTTTTACGTTTGCTTACTTTTGACAAAAATATGGCAAGTCGGGAACCAGTAAAATGGTGGCAAGTGGTCCTTTCGAATTCCTCGGCAATGTCTAGAGCATTGTACACTTGTGAGATGTCCCAGCAGTAAAAAAAAAATAACAAGCAGAAAGTTCCATCACAACACGCTACATCAGAACACGACGCAAAGTCCCCTTCGTTCGTACAGCACTTAAAGCAAATATGTGTTTATTGTTCGTTTGTAATTTGAAGCCATCCATGTAAATTTATTTTGTTTTTAATAAAAAAACAAAAAACACCAGGCAAATAAAAATGTATAACACACTGAACACAAGCAAACTGAGATGCTCTTCTTTGCCACTCGGAGAGACGAGCTTTGTCTCCATCTTCCACTTTCGTTAATTCCTATGTGGCGTCTCATGCAAGCGTATCATAATACGAAGGAAACAAACGAGAACTTGAATATGTGCATGCACACTTACACAGTTCGACGAAGGGTGTGACTGAGAGAGACAGCCACATACAGATCTAATTGTACTTATAGGTTGATCTTACATCGATCAGTATATTTCAGGGCTGGGCAATTGGTCGATTAACTTAATGATCAATTAATCACAATTATTTTTCACAGGTTAATTGGTAAAATTTTGCGTAATCAAAAGAAAGTAAAAATTCAGCGCTTTCATTATGCAGATCTTGAAGAGTACACCTGTATGAAGGAAAAGCTTTAGTTGAATTTTATCCTAAAGTAAACTATAAAAACGAAATTAGTATCTCCAAGCAATTGCAAAAGGTTACACAGGGCTCGGCCACTTCAACGCTGTTCGAGTGTCTGTTTAGCGCAGCAGAGACTATTGTGAACAATCAAGGGAGGTTGCTCTTGCTGGAGAATGTCAACAAACCTCTTTGCCTCATGCAGAATAGCAACAGTGGCACCGATTACGTGAAGCTGAGAAAACGATCTGGTGGGAACGAGCTGTTTCCTGGGCATTTTCATAGAAACTCAGATATTTTTATTTAATTTTGCTGAAGTATTACAGCAAATAAAGCTTTCTTCATAACCAAACAATCAAGCTCTTTTTGTTCCTAGTATGATGTGGTCTATATTAGGAAAATAAGTTTTAAATTAATCTGCACTTTATGATATAATTAAATTTGCAGTGAATCTTTTTTTACACTGTTTTCAGAGATTGTGCGGATTGAAAAATCTATTTTCCATGCTCGGAAAGACAAGCGAAAAACAAATGACTTTTTTATGTAAAGTAATTTAAATAGTATGTATAGACCGACACGCGGGCTTGACGTCACGGAGCTGCGGCGGCGTTGCGATCACGCCGGAGCTAGGTGGTGTGGGCAGAAGGGCGCACGTTTCACAAGGGCGTCATAGCATTTCAGCATGCCGCGAAGCTGTGTTGCCGTTAATTTCACCGAAAGGTACAAAGAAAGTACCGGAGTGAGTTTCCACAAGTTCCCGGCAGACTCCGAAAGGCGCAAAAGGTGGATAATATCCGTGGATCGAAAAAAATGGTCGTCTTGCTCGAACGACTGTTTGTGCGGCAAGCACTTTGTTGAAGGCGAGTGCGGATTCCATTTCAATCTCCGTCCCGAGGCTTGCTTATGTGCAGGGAAACCGTCGTCTGATCTAGACCACCCGGATTTTGTTTCCACAAAGCACCAGCCAAGTGCTCGACGGAGGCTCGCTATGCCCATGCTCCAAGCAGAAGGTGATCGGCGGCAGAACGGCAGTGTTGTAGGCGTTACCGAAAAAAAGTAACAAAATACGTTACTTGTTACTTGCAAATAAAAGGTATGCGTTACTGAGCTACATTACCTAAAAATAAAAGAAACGCATTACCGCTGCCAATAAGAAGTAATGCATGTTACTTCTGCATTACTTTTTAAACTTTGATTTAACACGTTTTACTGTTTTGGCAATACAGGTATGTATAAGCTCATATATCAAGAAACATTATGTTCATGCAGAAATTGAACATAATTATTTTATCTCTTTTTACAATTTCACCTGAATACTGATGAGAAAAAACGCAGAAAACTCAGAAATTCACATGGCTTTGACGCCTAAAAACACGGAAAAAATTGAAGTGTAATTTCTTTAAGACTTGGGAAGTAGTAACGAGTAACTTAACTATATTACCTGTACTGTGTCGAAAAAGTAACGAGGAGGTTACTACGTTACTGAAAAAAGTAACACGTACCTGGTAACGCTGTTACTCGTAACATGCTACCAGCCCATGTCGCCAACGTGTTGCCAAGACTGCAGAACGGACAAGGCATTACTGCGTATCATGCCTTCTGGTCATGAGGGTAGGAAGAATATCATACCTTGACTTGAAGACACTGTGTGTATTTAATCTATTAATAAATACACTTCCGCAGACCCACAGTCTGCTGATCCTACCGGCAGTGCGGAGACTGACTCCAAGTAATCATAGGCGATCGAGAAACTTGTACGCCTGCACCGTGTCGGCCGTGAACTGGCTGGAAAAAAAACTAAATAAACGACGACGTGAGCCGTCGACTTTGGTGGCAGCAACTTCATGACAGAAATCCAGCAGGCCTTGTTTGCGGCGTACGGATCCTCGAAGGCAACGCCGTCCATGCACAGTTTGTCTCGATACCGCTGCCATTCAGGCTCGGGTAGCGAGCTTAAATAGTCTAACATAGCTTACGACATATGTTGTCAGGGAATACGACGCATGAATAAAGCTAGAAGCGACCCTACAACGTCAGCAACAAGCGCACGCCACACAATGCAATGGCAAAAAAACTGAGAGCCAGGCCGCTTTTGCCCACATAGCTTCTGCGCATGCGCGGCCTTCCGACAGTGTTGGTAAACAGAGCCGTTCCGCGTGTCGGTCTGTAGCTGACTTATATTTTGTTTAAACTTAAAAAAAAACTGATTTACTTTACTTTTTTAAAATTATTTTTTTATTATTATTATTTTTTTTTTTATTGAGGTATATTAGTTATTTTGCAATAATTTGATCAAAAACAATTCCGGCAGTTTGTTTTGCAGTCGCCTAATGCCTACCGGTAACCCCATATGTGAAGAAAGGTGATTTCCCCGTTCGAAACGAGGCTGATCAAAAAAGAAAGAACACCACATGAACTACCATACTCAAGCATCTATTGTTCAGTGATTCCAGGTTTTATTGTGGTTTTCCTTAGATTCATATTTGTCACTTTTTGTACTGCCCGAATCATTCTTCATAAAGTACAGGCCTCGTGGCATAGTGGTTTGGAAATATCGTCGACACATACAGTGGGGTCGAAACGTCTTTGGAGGGCATTGCTCCAATGAAATTGGCACTGCATGCCCACGAGTGTGGGATGGTGTTTCAATTCGTCCCATCGGCGCAAACGTATGTAGGTGTTACTGGTACAAAAACAAACGCAGAGTGCAAAGCGAATGTGTAAGATGTGTCAGCCGTGCCGACACAGTGGCAGACGTGACCGGGAGACTAAACTTGTTGCATCATACGGCACGGGTTTATCGTTGTCGCTAGGGGTGTCGCGAACCGGCCGCGGTTCAAGTTCGACCAGGTTTGACTTTTTCGAACTTTAGTGAAAAGTTCGGCGAACCTTGTATGTATTGAGGTTCGACTCGTGTGCGCATGCGCGACAGGCTGGCCAGTTGGCTTCGGATTTGATGGTGATGGCTAAGGGATGAATCAAGGGCAGCGCTGATTGGTTCTTTCAGTTAATTCAGTAAAAAAAATTAAGTTATTAACTTCTTCAGCGAAAAGAATTGATTTCTTTTAAGTGCAACTGTTCATAAAATAAAATAACCCATTGCATACAAAAAAAAATTCTCCAAACCTAGACATGCTTGTATCAAGGTCTGGCCACAGTGTCCACAAAGTCGAACCGGTCGAATCTGGTGAAAAGTTCGAAGGTTCGTCGAACCGGTTCGACCCAGTCAAACCCCAAAAGTTTGACCTAAAAATCCGGTTCGACAAAAGTTTGCGACACCCCTAGTTGTCGCTGTCCCACAAAACATTGGCAAGTTGAAAAACCATGAAACTTTGTCTCCACGATTTGACACGTAACAATTGGAGCATTTAGGGTAACGACGCAGCAGTTCATACTGTCAACCCAGCGCAACCGCACCGCTCCGACTTCAATGCGTACCAATGTATGCGGCGTGGTTTCGTTTCACTGGGGTTCTCACTGCCTACCTCCGGTAATGGCCGCGAGCCAGCGCACTTGTCGCGTCGCACGGGGTGAATACCAGTACTACAAGTTCGCTCAAATGTTGCTTTGGCATATTCATGTATTTCCCATAGTGGCACACCAGTTGTAGTATTTGAGAGATTCTGCTGTTGACTACAGAATGATAGTGCAGGGATGCAGCTGATTAGTGCTATGCCCGAGGTAATTTTGGTGGATGAAAGTGATTAAGGTTTAGAGTAATGACTTGTTAATCTATTTTTCTAGGTTTACTCTGAAGGGTACGCTAAACCGGCACCTGCCAATCCACACTGGTGTTCGTCCCCACAAGTGCCCTCACTGCTCCAAGGAATTTGTCCAAGCGGTAGCCCTGAAGTCTCACCTCTTTAGCCATACGGGGCAGGACGGCTTCCGCTGCACCGTCTGCGGGAGGCTGTTCGGTCGCAAGACGCGCATGGAGGAGCATGTCCGGACAGTGCATGAGAAGCAGCGCCCTCCTACACACGACAAGTGTGGCAAGACGTTTCCCTGCAGGAATGAGGTCATCCACCACCGTGAACTAGGACACAACACAGTTGAGCATTTTACCTGCGAGCAGGGGGACCGAAAGAATACTCACATGATTGAAGCAGAAACGGAACTCAAAAATCCAGGCGCCGGCGGAGTCTTTGAGCCAGACGTTTTGGGCAGTTGGACGCTCTCGTCGGACAACTTGAGGGATTTGTCAGCTGGCGCAGAGCGCACGTGCTGCGATCAACAGCCTGCTGAACATCCTTCCCTCGTTTTAGCCGATGCCAAGCAAGCTTGTGATCCCTATCGGGAGGAACCTGCTGGTGCTCAAGATACCAGCATCCAGGGAAGCACTGAATCATCCTCATTTACAAAGGTTCAGAAAAGCGAGACTCTGTCTACCTCAGGTTTTAATACGAGTAGGGAGAACTGGTTGCCTCTGAGAACTGGGAGCCCCAACTTGGCAAAGTGCGCAAGTACCACAAAGAGAACATCATCTTCATTTATTGATACCGAGAGCAACAAAACATTTCAGAAGCAGGTGTCTCAGATCCTAGCGAAGGAGCAATTTTGTCATGAAACCTCAAGCAAGTCAGTGGCTCCCTCGGCAAAAACAAGACGTCTGAAGGATCGAAGGCAGGAAGAGCTCTGCACTCGTATTGGAGAGCTGCTTTGTGTTTTGGTGGAAAAACCGATTCTCACAAAACTTGGTTGGCCAGAAAAGCCCGTGAACGAAGTCTTAGAGGCAGTGATTCGTCACTGTGGGTGCAGCCCGTCCAAGTACCAATTCAAGTCTCCTTTGGAAGAGCTCAGGGAGAATTGCAAAGTGCTTTTTGTCAATGTGTTGGAGGATGACGTTGCCGAGGAATTGCTCAACAACGAAGAGACTGTGGACGCCGTTTTGGACAAGGTCTTGGAACTTGCAAGGTTGTGATCTTTACACACCTGTAATGGATCATTTTTGTAGCTTTGGTGCTTAGTAATTCCTTGAATATTCTTTTTTTTTTTTTTTAGAGAAAGAGAGCTATTCAAAAACTTTGTTTTTTTGGGGGGGGGGAATCTGCTTGGGGATCCTGTTTCTGCTGTTAAATTAATAAGAGCTTGAGATTACACTAAATATGGTGATAGCCTATCGTAAAGACAAACCTGAAGCTTAGGTTTGGAATGCAATGCATCAGATATGGAGGTTGTCTTTGAGACTGTTTTCTCATTCTTGTTGTATGTATCCATTTTCGCAAAGTTGTGAGTGTTGATTTACCACATTCTCACGTATGCCACCATTCCGTTTTTGCCTCGTTGGGTGTATCTAGATTGTGCCTCTTTTGCTTCTGATACTGTTTTTTTTACAAAAACATGTATGACTACTGCTGCTTAGTTTGCCAGCCGTTTCCTCTTTGCTGATCTCTACTTATAAGGGCCAGTGTCGAGAACTTGTACATTCCATACAAAAGGAATCATGTTTTTTTCTTTTTTCTTAAATGCTTTGTTTTGCTTCTTTAGCCAAGCTTGAAGATTCCAGCCTTGTTATCTTCTTCATTCCCGGAGGGTTGCTGTGTTCTGAGTTGCCAGAGGGTCACGTTGCAGTTTAAAGCTTTGGATCCTTAACCCATAGGTTTTATTACGGCACAGAGTGCATTTCGTGCCTATGACTAGTCTGCTAAAAACTAGGAACTAGTTTAGAACATCCCAGAGACAAGTTGCCAATGGTTTGTGGCGTTCTTTAATTGAGACTGTCAAACTAGCCTCGACATTGAATTCATTTGCTCTGTTAGCATATGGAAAGGGGAACAACGATTTTGAAATCTATAATTGAAGTTCTTTATGATGTTTTTTGCATTGTGCACATACTGATATGAGAGCAGAAGATAATGTGAGCTTCCCCATGAGGCTGGCTGAAGGTTCTGAGGTGGTCTTTTTGTAAACTTTTTGCAAACAACTTTAAAAAAAAAAAAAAAAAAAAATTTTTTTTTTTTTAGTTTTGTTTTTTTGTTTTGGTGCTGGGGGACCAAGTTTCAAGGAAATATTCTTTACACAGAACAAATATACTACGTTTCTACTTACCTTTGTTCCTTGTTTTGTGACCCTCTTTTCTTTTGTGCGCAACTGTTCTTACTCGTGCTGAAGCACATGTGGCCATGACATATACACCATCTTCTTTATTTCTGACCCTGTGATAAGGGGGAATAAAATTCTTTTTTTACTACTTGCAAAATTCTTATATTCTCAATTGTAGAGTACCTAAATTGATCGGAATGATGGGACCCAAGCTTGTTGCCATGCATAAAAAAAAAAACTATTGTAATGGAACAGTTGAATTGTGAGGCCTAAAAAATTACCATTTTTGTGCATTCATTTTTTTTTTTTGGTTCCAAATGTTATATTATTACACATGTTTCATTGTAAGTTAGAAAATCCCCTCTGTAAAAACTAGAGGTGTGTAAATGTTTTTTTATTGCAAATTGATTATGAATATTAAATTTGACCACAAATTGAGCTGGAATATTTTCAAATATAAATATTTTATGCTGAGCATGGGTAATTTTAAGAAATCACAGCTGAAAAATTTATTCTAGAAAGAATACCTATTATACACAAACTCAACTCTCCTACGTCATGCCGCGGTGGTGGCGCATCGGGCGCACTTCCGGTCTGGGGTGGTGGGCAGAAGTCGCCGTGCGAGACATGCATTCCTGTGTTCCTTTGGAAGAAACCAGACAAAAAGCCTGCCTTCTCGTAAAAATGCTGTGACTTGGGCTGTACCAAGAGAGTCTGGAAAGGTTTGAAGATCAGTTTTTATGTGTTTCTGCCCCCTCCGTTCGTCCGAGAACGTGAATAGTAGCCGTGAAAAGGGCAAACCAGGCGCTGTTGAACTACGATTGCTTGTGCGGGCAACACTTTGTGGGCGCCAGATGTATTTGCTTTGTTCCAACATGAGCGAGAGAAAACTGCCAAGTTGTCCGGACCACCTACAGGCTCAGTGCATCTTCAAATTCACACGGCTGCCTGATCGTTCGAACTTTCGTCTGTTCTTTCAATGACTATGTTATTTATTTGAATGTAGTCTGACGTTTTCTCTTTTAGCTCTGTCCTTTCAAATCTGGGTTCGATTTATAATTGTAACCACGGAACACTGAAACAACAAAATTTTAGAGACCATTAAGCCAACCGAGGGGTTTTGACACGCCGGCCGTTTCTCCTAGCACACTAGAGCAAAGCAGTGCAGCTTGACACAAGCACGCGCTAATGTGAAGCGGTGAAGCTTGATGCCAGAGCACTGGTCTGAAGTGGTGGAGCTTGCCTCAAGAAATCTGAAAATTTTAGGGGCGAAGTTCCTTAGGGTCTAGCCTTGTCCGTCCGGCGTCTGTGCTCACATCGATCTTGCTGGTGCTCGTGAGCTCACGTGCTCAGGTGCTCACGTGCTCGTGTAAAGCAAAAAAAAAAAAAAATGGCAAAAAAAATATTTGCGCAGTCGACAGGATTCGAACCTGTGCGGGGGGACCCCAATGGATTTCTAGTCCGCCTTAACCACTCGACCACGACTGCGGGACAAGTAGGGGGCTCTGAGATGTGGTAGTAACTCAAGAGCTGGGAATGTCATGGATGAAACGTTGCATGTAGCCACTCAACGTCTATACAGGAGAGGGCGCTGTGGTCAAATGCGTATATAATCTAGGGTGACCACCTTCCTGCCCGTGGAATGCAGGACACCCTGACCGGGGGTGGGCAGGGGGGAGGAGGAGGAGGAGGAGGAGGAGGAGGAGGAGGAGGAGGAGGGAGAAAGAGGAGGACGATATTTTCACGACTCAATAAAGAAGTATTAAGAGAAATTCACCAACGCGCACAACCCGAAATCCTGTGCTGTCCGAAAGCGTATTATACACCTAAAAATTGTACGCAGCAATTAAACTCAGATAAGTTTAACTCACAGTGATATACTTTTGTTAATTTGTAATGGTAAATATTTTATTAAAAGTATCTAGTTTGAAAACAAAGATCGACTGCACCAGCGAAGTCGATTATTTCCTTTTATTTCAAAAGGAAATAAAAAACAGTAAATACTTTTCGGCTTATTGTTTCCTTTCGATACTTACTCTTATACTAACATGCTCCTACACAAAAATAAAACCTTATGTTGTTGTTTTTTTTACCGTTGTGAGTTGCAAGTTTTTTTTGTCTTCTGTGGCTGTCTTCATCGAAAAAAAAAAAAAAAAAGCTTTCCACAGAAACCTGTTTGTATGATACAGTATGATTTCCAACTAATTACAATAGTTTATTTTTCAGCTTTTGGTGATCAATTTTCGCTTGCAATATTTAGCCATCAAGGGGAGAGGCACAATGGCGCATGTGCGTCAGTCTCCTGCAACAACGACGATCGCTTTCCACGATGCTTGGATAGAAAATGGTGTACCATCGCGATTCACACATTCACCAGTGACCTCCGCGCTTCTCTGTTCCCCGTTGTTCGGCAGCGCCATAAGCTGCGTAGTGAGTTTTACGACAATGTGAAATGCGGGATATTTTGAAGATTTGGGAATTTCTTGCGGGACACGGGACACGAGCCCTCAATGCGGGACAGTTTCGCGAGTCGCGGGACGGGTGGTCACCCTAATATAATCGCATTAAACTTTGCATGCGTTGGCTCAACGTTTATAGAAGAGAGGGCGCTGCGGTCAAATGCTCAGATGCGTATATAACCACGTTCCATACCACACATTCTCTTTCTGACATGGATGAAAACAAACAAAAGGCTCGGCATGCTGCGGCTCAGCGTCTACGCAGACAAGCACCACCAGAGCTTCGCCCCAATCAACATCATTCACCACGTGGAGATGCGGTCAATTTTGTTTTTAAGATAAAATTTATAATTTTCAAATCTGAAAAATTTCAAACGAGTTCTGTGAGTAGCAAATGTGTGCTGCAAATCAAACCGAATAGCAAACATTTTGCAAATTATTTTAAATTTAGCATATTTGTTTTGCATGGAAGCATATTTTAGAAGAAGCGAAACTTCAGTCTAGAGAAGCGCCGTTTACCGAAAAGGGGGGACTCTGTTTAGCGAATTTGTTTGGCCTAAGTAATCAGATCTGAATGCCACCAAATGCTAGCTCATGATTCACCGAGTCGTTTGTACCTAAGCCTCCAGCCCCCTCTCCTCTCTTTCCCTGTAATCCTGCGAGACGCAAGTTTTCTTTTGAAAACAGCTACTCCTCGAGCTTTTCAGAATATGTTGGCCGCCCAAGTCCCCAAGCAACCGACTCGCTGATTGGGCCTGGCTTAGGTGTTGGCCAAGGCAAAACAACCAAACAAGCTAATGTCGTCGTTGAAACACAGTTCACATTTAGTGAACTGTTTCTATAACAACGAACTGACTAAAAATAGGCTCGCCGCTATTTTCCGAATTCTTTTTATTTTTTGTGAAGATTTGACGAGCTGAGGGTTTTTAATTGACATTTGCTAAAATGAGCTTTGGTAAAATCGATACCTCCGTTTCGCCTTGTAGCACTCCCTCTATCTCATCTATCTTCTTTAGTCCACCGCATCCAGGCCCTATCAGCTATACTGTCTCTCTTTTTGCTGCTTCCATTCTTAACTCCTGTACCTCATCTGTCTTTTCAATTAAAGCTACCGCCTTGATCTCTCACCTCCGTTTCTAGTGTCTCTTGTTTCTGTTACTCTATCCGGGTTTTCCGTAATCTCTGAGCACCCCATTCAGGTATGTATCGTTTTGTGGACAATAGTTTATGAACACACGTTTTGTGGAAACTCGTTTCGTGGGCATGCCTCTGCGATATATGTCGAAGACAGTTTTAATGCGAAAGCATTAAAACTGTCTTCGTCATATAAAACTCCCATGGAGCGAACCTACGTCATCAGCTTTGAAGCCGCACCAGACGGCTCTTTTCCCTGTCTTAATGTCGTCTGTGACCGAAATCTGAGGTTTAGGCTCCCATTGGCTGGCGCGCGTCATCAAGGAACAAGGCTCTATTGGCCCCCGTGCGGCGGTGCGGGTCAGGGCGAGGCATCTAGTGCATCGGACACCCGCCAGGTGGCTACGGCTGCCCGAGGGGCTTTCCCCTCCTCCCGCTGGGTGCGCCTGCTCTGCTCGCAAACGGTGGGGTCTTGGAGCATCTGGGCGTACCCCCTCCCCCCCACCTCCACGAGAAAAGGAAGGCGACGACGCATGATGAAGTGGAGCTGAAGAACCATATCCATGCTTTCGCATTCACAACTCATAAAAGGTGTTTAGGTGTCCTCTGACTTTTTTTTTCACCAAGTGTGGATTCAAATCTGCAGAAGCTGCTAAAAGCTGCTAAAGGCTAAAAAAAAAAATGTTTTGGTGGCGTTTGTTGTGGGCATGCAAAAGAGCAGTGAATTTTGAGCTGCATGCAAAGCAAACATGGCATTAGTGGCATAGCCAGGAATTTTTTTTCGGGGAGAGGGGGGGGGGGGGGGGGGTGGCTGAGGTGGCTGGGATGTCCATGACTTGGGGTGCGGAGAGGGGGAGGGGGTCAAAGTGCATGTGTATATTCTAGGGTCGACTGGATTTCGGGGGGGGGGAGGGGCTGAAGCCCCATAAGCACCCCCCTGGCTACGTCCCTGCATGGCATCGAGCGAAGTTTTTCGGTTCACTGCATATTCACTCCACTTCAGGCGACATATCCTGCCAAAAGTTTAAACTGGCACCATGCTGCATGTGGCCCTGCTCATCCATGGTCCACCTTCCCTGCAGCTAAAGCCCCTTAATAAAATTCAGGCTTCGTGTTTTTTTTGCAAGTACCGACAACCATTACTGTGCGAACGTGCCATGCGCCTCGTCCGTTGGCGCATTTGTCGCTACTTGTAACATAAACGTATTGGGGTGGATTTATACCCTGCTGCTACTTTAGATGGCCAGTTGCCTATGCAAAACAAAATCCCCCTCCAAGCCCTTCTCACCTAGAGGCTTCTGTTTCAAATATTTGACTCCAAGTATTGCGGGAGAAGCGACTGTCGTTCTTGTAGGAGGTGCAACAACATTACGAGGCGGCGGTTCATCGCGCATGCGCCGTCGTGCATCTCCCGTGTTTGTCGGTTGTCGTGTTGTCTGCTACTACAAGGCCGCGCTGAAAAAGCGCTTGCATTATGAAAAGATTGCGATTACATATGTCTAAAAGTGGCACACACAATTCCAGAAAGTTCAAGAAGCCTCCTGTTCGTCAGACTTCAGTGTAATATCTCCATTTTGTGAACACAGAGCAAGAAAGAGTGGAATGTAATAGCGATATCGGGCCCCATTTGCATCGCCGTGCAAGTGTGCCTTGCATGGCCTAATCAAAAGTGTTTCTGGCTTGCAACCAAAGGGTCATGGGTTTCAATTCCGCTTAAAATTCTTAACATTTTTTCTTTAAGGCAAATGAATTACTTTATAAAGTGAAATCATTTGAGACATGCGGCAACCTTTAATTCACATTACCTGTCATGTTTTAACCTTTTTCATTCCATGCGTGACGTCACGTACGTTTCACATGAGCGTTGTCCAAAATTCCTGCTTGAGGTCATGTGGCTGTGACGTCGTGACCCTATCGACCAATCAGGATTTTCCCGTCATGCCACCGACATTGGCTTTTCTGCGACACAAGCTTCTTAACGCCATCGCATTAAAATAGGTCCTGCACTAAACCCAGTGCTCCGCAAGGCAGCTTCCTCGCAAGTGGTGTAGTGGAATTTGGCTCATGTGACCCCTTCTCCGCCAATGAGGAGCTGGCGGCGAAACCCTTTTACAGCGGAGCTGTTAAGGGCTAGTTTCCCCAGGATCGTGTCCGCCAGCAAATTAATGTCGACACGACACTCCGGGCAGCTACCACCATTTATAAGCGACAGCAGCAACCAGACAACGGTTTGCCAGTTGTCTGGTTGCTGCCGTTGCTCATAGGTGGCAGCTACCTTTCCCATCCTTTCCACTTTGGCTTGCCGACTTGCAGCCGGCCATTACTTCATTCCCACTGTGATACACCTTCGCTGGTCTTCCTTCTTCACCAGAGTGAATAGGCTGACAGTTTTTGGGTACAGTGGCACAACTCTGGGTACATTTCGGTGACCTGTTTCGTTTGATTTACCTGAACCTTCTGCACCTGTGTAGAAAAGTGTAGGACCGCGCCCGCTTACTTCCAGTCGTATCTCAATACGTGGCTTGCACATGACGTCATTTCCGATGCTCTCCAGAGAAAAGGGGAAGAAGGAGCTCCCCTCTTATCAGGATCCTCCTTTGTGCCTCCCGGATTTGCACCGGTGTCGCTATTCTCCTCCCAAAAGATTAACCTGTCACTCAAAATTCTTACAAAAGCAGCTTCCCTCTACTTTTACATGGTGTTCAAGAGTATGCGATGTGCCACCAGTGCAAGGGGGCTTGCACATGACGTCATTTCCGATGACCTCCAGAGAAAAGGGGAAGAAGGAGCTCCCCTCTCATGAGGAGCCTCCCGGATTTGCACAGGTCTCGCTATTCTCCTCCCAGAAGATTATAGAAGATTAACCTTTCACTCAAAATTCTTACAAAAGCAGCTTCCCTCTCCTCCTTTTATATGGTGTTCAAAAGTATGCAATGTGACGTCAGTGCAAGCACACTGCCCTACACTTTTCTGCGCCGGGGCGATAACAGAGCGGTCGCTCCCAGGAGCGCCAGAGCGCGATTTTTAATATCCTCGGATAGATGGCGCAAGCTACACCCTGTTACGGAGGTATGGAACATCTAGTCACATCCAGCCATACAAGAGAGACAGCTGTAGATAGCTGTAGGATTTGGATTTGGAGGATTTGTTGATTGATCTTGTAGTCGTTGCAGTCTGTCGGTAGTCGGTTTATTCCGGATTGTTAGGAAAGTGGAGGTGGCGCGTACTTCAAGAATCGAGCGGCTCGAGCTACTCACTGCCTTCTGATAGTGATGTAAATTTCGGTGCTTGAAAGCACGCACAATGCCTCCGCAGCTTAGGCAGCGACCTCCGCGCGCGCAGGAGCCCAAAATGTAAGTTTGGCCAGTCTGGCCAGTTTAATGTGTTCCGTGTCACGTCTGATAGCGTACTATTGGGAGCGCGATTTACGATTTGTTCACTTTATTCACCGTTCGTCGTTGAGCTTCGACGCGCTGGCACAAAGCTCCGTGAATTGACGCTAGATGTTGGAATAGAACGCGAAAGTTTGAGAACAGGACGTTATCTGAAGAGTTTGAGGACGGGACACAATTTCTCCGAGTTGACGTTACAAGATAAGACATTGTAACGATAATGATCCCTGGAGAAAAAGAACAAGGGGGACAAAGGACAAACGCAAATCTCCAAACACAGCCTGTCCAGCTCGCTTGCACCTTTGTATTAATTTATCATCAAGACATTGTGGGTGCTTGTAACATTTACTGTAAACGACTTAATTTTTGGAGGCTAAAATTTCGAATCGGGCCATAGCTGAAAATTTGAAATTATTCGCGGGTTCTAATTTTCCCGAATTGAGTGTAGCTTCTATAGCGTTCACATACTGCCCGTATTTTTCGTGAATTGTAGGCGATTCGCGTAATTCGCGAAAATTTAGTCTTTTGCAGTATATAAAAGAAAAAAAAAAAAAACTTGGAAGACAAAAAAAAATATATTTTTTTTTATTGCTGACAAATGTTTTCATTGATATAAATCCCATATGCAGCTACATTCACTCTTACGTCCTGTTCTGGCTATAGGCTTTGTTAAACATCGGCTTGTAGAGATATTTTGTATTTCTAAAGACCCTTGATTTCGAAATTTAGTCTGGCCACCTCGGTAACGGTCTAGGTTTGGTGTATTTAGTTTTGTTGCGGGTATGTTTATGGGGTAGTAAAAACCAGTTTTTAAAGTGGTGATAGGATAGGCTTGCTTGTTGGATCTTCGTTGGTGGTGTTGCGTGCTAAAGGCAAGAGGCACACCCCATTGGGGTTGATCCTCCAGGTTTACAGCCCTACTGTAAAGCACTTTTGGTCTTATACTAGTGGTTTTATGGGTAGAAGAAAGCAGTTTTTAAAGTAGCGATAGGATAGTCGGGTTAAAGCAGGCTTTTTAGGTAGGGTCACGAGACCGAACCACCTGCACATTTGAAACTTTTGGCGGGCTAGTTGGTTGTGTGGGTAGAGGCGTACCCAGGCTTTCTTGGGTTTGAGTTTTGGTGGGATATTTGTCGTGGGGTCGCGCTGTGTGTCGGGAGACAATGGTGAATGTGCGACGAAAGAAGGATGCACAGCCTAAAGTAAAAGAAGGACCCAATGTAGAATGTGAGGAGTGTGGCCGTTGGTGCTGCATGATGGAGACGGAGTTCAAAACTGTAGCAGAAGCCGAGGAGAGCAGCTTTACCTGCCGGAGTTGCGAGAAGGTAGAACTTGGTTTTAAAAGAATAGGAAGGGAATGGGCGGATACGGTTCAGGAGTTGAAGCGGGAGGTAGGGGTAGTGCGGGAGAAGCGGGTACATCTCGAGGTGCAGGTGGGAGATTCGATTAAGAGGGCCGAAGCAGATGTGGAGGAGATGACCAGGGAATGGGAAAGTAAGGTAGATAGCGTGGCGGGAGAGCTGAGGCGAGAACGGTGAACAGCGAGCCGAACTTGAGTGACAGGTGGAGGAGCTTAGACAGGGGGAAGAGTGGAAGGTGGAGTTGGAGGAGCATAAGAAGAAGTGCGAGGAGATGGTGCAGCAACTGAGAGGAGTAGTTAATAAGAAAAAGGGTGAGGTGGCAGAGAAGACAGTGGTGAGGGCGGCAGACATAAGGGGCCAGTTGAATAGTGACAAGGTGTTTGACTGCGTAGGAAAAGAGCCTGCACAGCTGTATAGTGCTGCAGTACAGCAGGGTTCGAGGAAGGCAGCAGAAGTTGAGGCAGAGGAAGCACAGATAACTGGAGGGGATGAATACAGAAAGTCGGGGGTTAAGAGGGTGCTGGTGGTAGGAGACTCAAACATAACAAGGGTTAGGGAGGGGCTGCTGGACAGGGTGAAAGAGGATGGGAGGGTAAATGTAGTGGCTCAGTCAGGAAAGTGCATGGTAGACACTTGCCAAAGCGAAGGAGGGGGTGTGGGAAGACAGGGAAGGGAGAGCCTAGTGGTAATACACGCAGGACTAAATGATGTGTTAAAGGGACGGAGCCAGAACCTCGCCAGGCAGATAGAGTTGGGGTTACATAAGCTGAGGGAGGTCTCCGAGACTGTGCATGTGCAAATATGCACCGTCCCAGAGGTCTGGGGACAGTCTTCGCAGATAGAGAAGCGGGTGGTGGAAGCTAACCGGGTGATAAGGGCGTTAAGCCGACGATTTGGGTACGGAGTAATGGAAGTAAACAGGGTGGTGTACGAGGCTCGCTCCGACCCTTTTACATAAGGCATCCACTACAGTGGAACCACTGGGAGCACGGTAGGCGATAGGATTGGACGTCACATCATACATTTTTTGGGGGGTCCCGGAGCCCTGAGGGTGCCGGTGTGAATGAGGGCCAAAATGTAGATGCAGAGGGGAGTGTTTCGGAGGGTGAGTGGAAGCCTCGCAGGACTAGGAAAAAGAAACAGCTTAACATAGGGTTCATAAACATGCAGGGGGGCAGGAACAGAATACAGTGGGAGGAGATTGAGGAGCAATTAGAGAGCGAAAACTTTGCAGTGTATGGATTAGCAGAAACACATGTGAGGGATATGGAAGAACCACCTTACATACCAGGATATCATTGGATGGGATGCAACCGGGCCAATGGGGAACGCAAGGAAGGGGGATTAGGGGTATTAGTTAAGGGTCAGGAATAGGAAAGAGAACGAGAGGGCTGCAGGAAGCACATGTGGGTCAAAAGCAATATTGGGGGTTTGGACACAATCCTGGGTTTTGTCTATTTAAAAACAGGGAGTGATGCAGGGGAGGAAAATGCAAAACATTTGACATGTATATCAGGAGACGTTAGGGAAATCGGCACTAACAAGGAAATAATTATCTTGGGGGACATGAATGCACATTTGGAAGACTTTGATTGACATACAGATACAACAGGGAGGATGTTAGAGGAGTTCTACGAAGCTCTTGATCTGGTATTGGTTAATGCTCAGGTAAAATGTGATGGAAAAATAACACGGGAAAGAAAGAACTCTCACTCGACTATTGACTACTGTTTAATGTCGCGTAAGATATACAACAGATTAGGAGGCATGGAAATAGATGAGGAAGGCACGAAAAGTCTGGGGAGAGTGACCATAAGAGAATCAAGATCAGATTTGGCTCAGTAAAACCAGAAATGCAAAATCAAAAACAAGAAGGTAGGAATAACTTAAATGATAAACAACTACAGGAGGTATCTAAGCGAATCGAGAACATAGTATCCAAGCAACCGGAAAGAGAATGGACACATGAAGACTTAATTAGTGTTTTCAAAGGAGAGTTAGAGAAATATTGAGTCAAACAAGGAGGAAGAAAACTAAAACGCAAGCTCAAAAGCTGGTGGGATAAAGAGGTTAAGGCAGCAATATCGAGACGCCAGGCGGCATCTAAAGAACACAGATGGGCAAAGAAAAAGGGGGCCACACTAGCCGAAGTAGCATCAAAATGGGAGGATTCTCAGGAAAGAAAGCGGGAGGCGTCAGCATTAATACAGGCCAAAATTGGGAGGGCAGGGGTCCAGTGGGTGATAGAGATAAACCAGAAGGATAGGAATGCGGCAAAAAGGTTCTGGGAATACATTAGTGCGCGGAAAAAAGACCGAGGGGTACCAGCAGACACTAACCACACAGGAAGGGACAATGGTAGAGGGGGAAGAGGCAAGAGAATACATTAGACATACAATTGAAGCAGCATTTTCAGAGTTAGAATCAGATCAGGCCGTAGGGGATGGTAGTGTCTACACAATACAAGAGGAGGATCATAGTGAAGAAGAGAAAATGACCACTGGGGAGTGGGAAAAAGCAGAAGGAAGGGTTCCGGCTGGAACTGCAGCAGGTCCAGACGGCATACCAATGAGATTGATAAAAGTTCTAGGCCAGGGGTTCTCAAACTTTTTGGCCTCACGGAACCCCAGGAAGCCTCAAAAGCTGCCGCGAAACTCCCCCCCCCCCCCCCCCCCCCCCCCTGCCTCCCCTCCATATTTTCCGACTGAGAGGCAGCAGATGCACAATTGTAGGCAATTTTGCTTGTGTTGCTTCCCATATATCCCCACCGTATCAATCGCGATGTCAGTACAACGTGAGATGAAGGCGCTTTGCATGATCCTGCTGCACCGCCTGTGGCATGGGGGGGGGGGGGGGGGGGGGGTAGCAATTTCGGTGTTCGCGGAACCCGTGAGACCAGCTCGTGGAACCCATGTGTTCCCCGGAACCTAGTTTGAGAACCCCTGTTCTAGGCAAAACAAGCAAATTGAAACTAAGGCAGGTGATTGACCAGATACTTATAGGAGGGGAGGTACCCAGTGACGGGAAATTGAACAGTATGAGATTTTTATATAAGGGCAAGGGAGACAAAGACAGTATCAAATCATACCAACCAATCACAGTAACTTCAGTAATATATAGGCCATTGTAAAATTGTTTAAAAGTAAAAATAAAAAGAATTGTAAAAAAGAAGAATGGAAGAATGGGCAGAGAGAAAGCAGATTTTAGGGGAGATTCAAAACGGTTTCAGGAAAGATAGACGACTAGATGATAATTTATTCGTAATCACTCAGTGCATAGAGATAGCAGTGACAAGTCAAAGGCCATTAGGGTAAGCATTTTTAGACATCAAAGGGGCATATGACAATGTGAATCAGGAAAAACTCTGGAACCAACTGAAGGGATATGGACGAGAGGGAACCATGGTTAAGTTTCTAGAACGGGTTTATACGGAGAATAGGGTGGTTATAACATGGGAAGCCGAAACTACAAGACCAGCAGCGATAAAAAGAGGTCATAGACAGGGTTGCCCATTGTCTCCCCTGCTCTTTATGATATACTTCAGCGAGATGGGAAAAAGGTTAGAACGGCGCAACCTCGGTTTTGACCTGACTTACATGG